TCAATATTAGCTCCTACTACTTTAGCCTTTAAGTAATAAAAATGTCATTTCAAAAACTATTTTCAATCAAATTCCTAGTTAAAACTGAGATTTAAGAAAAATTTTTAGTGTTAAAAATATTAACCGACGATGCCACAAACTATATACCTAATACCTTTGTTTTGAAATTCGATCAGAAATCCTTTGATCAAAAAATTCAATAAAAGTAGAATTTATAATCAAAAAGCCTACAACAAGTGTCGCCAGATTTTATATTCAAAAATTTAGATTGTTGTTCTTTTACCTTGATACCTACTTGTCTTGTGAATAATAATTATAAATTTATTGACATTAAATGTTTGTACTGTACAATTATTAATAGTTAGTAGTTGCTGAATTATAATCTTCAATTTGATTTTTTATTTTATTTTACTATAAAGTATTAGATATTAATAATTTTAAACACCAAACTAGAATATTGAGCTTGTAAAACTATAAAAATCCAAAATCAATACTTGTTTTGTCAGGCAACTCCTTGTATAATATTATACACTAATGTAATTTGAATCACAGCCATTTGTTCGCACAGGAGTCAAATTTTAAAATATAATAATATTATTTTCGAATAAATAATAATATCATAGATAGACGATAATGAATATGAATGTATGAATAAGTGGTTAGTAAAGACAACTCGATATAGCGACGCTATAGTTTAGCAGCGTTATTATAAATATGCGTATTATAATTTAACATTTCCGGTGAACATTAAAGCAATGCGTTGAAGAACCCATGATTCTGTCCTAAAACTAACCCAAGCTAAATTTAGAATTTTTAATATAATATTATAGGAACCTACCTGCGATATGAATGCAGTTAAATCGTCTTTATATAGTCATATTAATTCAGACTTTCTAATAATATGTATTTTATTTTAATAACGAAGACACACTGAGTGCACAAGAATATTTTCTTAAATCGAATATGTTTTCAACAATATTAGAAACTAAGTATACCAGAGTTACTATACTGCTCATACATGAAAGGGGAAATAAATATAAAAATATCAAGTGCATTATGCCATGCGGTACAGTTGTTATTAATTCCAGTCGTGAGAAACTTACGAACGGTGTTGTTCTTTCAATTTATTAATCCCGTTTAAGACGTTCGATCAAATTCAACGGGCAACGGGCAACGGGCAACGGGTGATCTATAGGCAATCCATGATGTATCGAAGTAGTGTGATCATCGGTGAGGCCCCTAGTAGGCATTATAGTAGGCATCATACAAACTCCCACAAATTAAAGTCGTAAATTCGAAACCACACAAGTTCGACGACCATATTATATAGTCTATAGAGTAGTTGTTTATTTGACAAATATGTTGAATATTATAACTTCGTCTTGATGGTGTTTCGCAAGCGTGAAAAATATTTTGAACTTTTCAATTTACGTGTATCTGCGTCTCAGCATACGAAATTATGTGCCGAGTATAGATACTTATAGATAATATTGGCATTTAAAACAATTAAATTAGTATAGGGATAGGTCAGTTTTAATCCAATATAATAAATATTTCGAATATTATGTATTAATAGGTATATTTTAATTTTCCCCATTGTAAGACTACATGTATCCTTTTATTATGTATAATTTTGCAAAAATATTTAAATGTTATAATACATTTAGTAAACTAATATATTTGTATAGAAAGATGAAACCATTTTGAATCGCCTTCGAATTGGCCATACTTTTGCAACACACAACCACCTCATGGCTAGAAAAGACCCTCCCATATGCGAATCATGTGGTGTGGAGTTCACTGTCAAACATATACTTATTGATTGTTTCAAGTACTCAGACTCAAGATCCAAACACCACATACCACAGCAATTAAGTGAAGCCCGATCTTCAATCAAACATCAACATAGTTAACTTTTTAAAAGAAATCAAATTCTTTAACCTAATTTAAGCCTTCAACAAAATGTAAACCATTAAAAAAAAAAAAAAATAATTCAATAACTAATGGAATAGTAGCCGATGTTTTTATGTTCAATAAAAAAAAAATATTTGTATAGGTATTAAAACTGATTTCCTAAAACGGTGCCAACAATAAAATAAAATAAATATTATCAGGTATATAGTTATTTTTTTTAAACATAATATTATAAACGACCTACAATATGGTATAAGCCATGTTTCAAAATCTTGACTGTAATTAAGTACCTATAATATTATGCAAGGTGCTAGTTCCGAATTCTTACTTCGACATCTTATCGACGCATGGTGGAGATCAGTTAATAAAAACAAAAATTTAGGCACTCATCCAAGTCTTAATATATGCAAATAGTTTCTAATACTTAATACATTTTTATTTGACGATTTAATTTATTTTTAGTTATTTTTTTTAAAACTAATACAAAATAAATTTTAATAATTAATAATAAACTGTATTAAATTGTGTTATTTAAAATATAAATAAATTAAAAATATTTTGACCATTATACAACTAAAAAAGCGACTGAGTGGATGTCACTTCGCTGTACATAAGGTTACAAGTGGGTCTCTGTAGTGGATGGAATTAAATTTCAATTCAATGATAATATCATTGTATACAAAAAAAAGATTCTGAGCGAAGTTTAGAATATTTTATATTATATTTCAATTGTTATTTTACTTATATTTTGTGATACAATATTAGTATTAATACGGCAAACAGTAAGTTGAATTAATATTATAAAATTACAAAAAAATAACTCAAATCGTTATTCTATATAATTTCCTCCAAATTTTAACTTAATAACTATAAAAAGTTTTTATGGAGGTATATTTTTAGTTTTTTTGGTTACAGAATTATAAATACTTACGTTGGACCTTATTTTAATTTTTTAATCCTTAACTATAAAAGTTGAAAATATTATAAATTTTGAGCTACAAAATCATTTTTTAATTTTTAATTTAATAAATGTTGTCAAAATTCTAACTTTAAACGCTTGTAAAAAAATGTGTGCTTGTGTATTTTCATATTTTTCAACCGCTGTTGCAACTGTAGGTATATAATTTTAAATTCCAACTAGATTCACTTTCAGTGGCGAAAATCTTGTACTGCTATAATATTAATACTTCGATAAATTAATCGTAATGTCATCTTATCATCAACTATATAATATTAAATCCTCCTCTCATCACAAGCATGCTTAAAGGGGCTGCAACGAAGCATATTTTAAGGAGTACTATTTAGGCAATTCATGTGACATATAAATTAATACTGTATATATGTGTGAGTAGTAAATGAAAATTAGTGTGTGTAATCCGTTATCGTTTCCGAGAATCGCTGCAAGTCGAGTCGGGCACCCGGGCCGGAAGGAACTCACTTTTTTTTATTTAAAATCAGATGTGCCAAAATAAATACAAATGTAATGCAATATTATTTCATGGGATTTCTAAAAAAAAAGTGGTTATTTTGAGGTCATTTTAAATTGAAAATTGAAAATCGACTTCCTAAGAAACCTAGATATTTTATCAATGAAGTCAAACATGTATAAAAAATTGAAATTGAACATTCCGAAGTATGTGTAATTTACCACCGCTTATTGATCTAAAAAGTATGAAAAATACGTGCTTTGCAGTCCCCTTAAAGAGAGGGGTAATCAGCTCAGTTCATATAATTACTTATGTTATTTTTCTTTTTCTTCTTTTCGTGTTTGTATTTTATCTGAGTTGAATAAATTATTATTATTATTATTAAAAAAAAAACTATTATGGTATTAAATTACAAAATATAAAAATATAATATTAGTTGTAAGAAATAGAACTATAATGTGAAGATAAACACAAAGAAAAAAAAATAACAACAGCCCCCAACGAATAGCCCATTATACTGTCCGATTGCAAATGGAAATGACAATATTATAATATTAAAACCAAAGCGTTTCTTCTTTGCAGCCAGCATGGCAGCGCACTACGCCATGGCCGCGGGCAGCGTAATTTTAAATCGTGTCACGGTGGCTCCTCGATATGCCGTTATCATTATTTAAGCCAAATCACATTTCATACCTTTGCGAGATTAGATTAGATTAGATTTCAATGTATTTGTAGACAGGCGTCTCGCGACAAAATAATTTCCGATACCAACTTCTTATCAAACCTTGTTATCACTTAGCAGATTAACCATTTGCAATACCTCAAGGTGTAGTAGTCAAAAAGAATTTATACTAGGTAGCACGGTATATAAGACTAAATAGACTATTATTGTTCTGTGCTATTATATAGTATACTAGCACGGTATATAAGACCGTGGGCTATCTCCCAATATGCGGTCTACCTCCGTTTTGTATGCTACGTAACTATAAACATGAGTATACTAGTATAGTATGCGGTCTATCAATGTTATGTGTTCTACCTATATAGCTGGGATTTATATTTATTAATGCAACAAAAATGCAATTTTCTCAACCCTGTGACCCACTTGGGGAGGTGTTGCACAGCAAGTCGGGGGATATTTTCGATTTGCGGAGCGGAGCGACGGCGCCGAGGAGCGTAGCGACGAGTGCCGCTAGCACTGCATCACTGTACGATGTTTTTTCAATCAATTGCATTTTTGTTGCACCGAGCCACCAATTTGAAAAAACATCGTACAGTGATGCGGTGCTAGCGGCACTTGTCGCTACGCTCCTCGGCGCCGTCGCTCCGCTCCGCAAATCGAAAATATCCCCCGACTTGCTGTGCAACACCTCCCCAAGTGGGTCACAGAGTAATAAAAAATATATACTTTAAATTATACTTATATTGTACTATTTATTACTTTAATATTATTACGGTAGACCACGTCCATTTTGGTAGAGTGATAACAAGGTTTGATAAGAATTTGGTATCGGAAATTATCTTGTCGCGAGACGCCTGTATTTGTAGTCTCACACCATAGAGTAATATATTACTCTATACTCTGGTGTGTATTACTCTGTGTCTCACACTATCGCAGTCTAATCTCGCAAAAGTATGAAATTTGATTTGGCTTAAATAATGATAACGGCATATCGAGGAGTCACCGTGACACGATTTAAAATTACGCCCGCGGGCAGCGCACAACGTGCTCATGGACAGGCTGGCCCGGAAGACGACCAACCTGCTCATCTGAGTGTACGGCCGTCAGCAGTGTCGATGGCCACCTGCGTTATGGGCATGTACGCGGTAGGGCCTGAGTACCGGCCTGCTGGGCACGCCGACGGCCGTATTACATTGCCGAGGTGCCCGAGCAGCGTTACCGCGATCACTTTTTCGGTATCGACCGGTATACTGGCAGTGCACGTTCCTGGACCGGCGGCTGGTATCAGCCCTATGCTCGGCAGTGCCGTTTGCCGGCTACTGCTCATATGGTTCACGCCCGTGTCACCTGTCTGGCTGCGCGAGGACGAGGACAGCCACCACTGCCGTAGAACCGTTGCAGTCTGCGACCGCTCGAGTGACGGTGTACCGTCGAGGCCACCACCGGATGTCGACTCGCAGCCGCCGCTGCTGACCGTCAAGCAAACGGCACGCCAGTGCTTCAGTAGGCCGTCATTTATGGGGCCGCAGACAGTTGTACTGTCCGTGTTCTTTTTCGTCCAACAGTTCTCAGTGACGCTGCTCATTCGCGTTGGGCTAAAACGAGTACCACTGCACCATAGCTTTCGACGTCATCTGACTGGCCGTGTCCATGCTGGCGTGTGGCCTGACCAAGCGGTACGGTCGTCGTCTCAGCCGTATAGGGACATGCGTGTTTCTGCTTAGCCTGGCCGCTTCGGTCTCAGACGCCTCTGCCATCGGGGGCATCAACTACGGTAAAATACTAAAATGACTTAGCGACACTATTTTGTTAGCACGGAGCGCTGCTATAATAAAACAAAGTGATATTCACTGTACTGGCTTTCTTATCATAAATTGATGGATAACTACCATACTATCTTAAATTGTGTCTTAAAGTCACCTTATACATTATAGGGCGCAACGTATTTTTAATTTTGCTACTATGGTACTTCACATTGACCACTTACCCCATGAGTATAACTGCAGTACTTAAGTGGCTAGGATTAACAACCCTTGCTGATAGACGTGTATCTGCAAACCAAGGATTTCTACGTGAACTAGTAAATGGCTCTATAGATTGTCCTATATTGTTAAGTCAGCTTAATTTTAAAATCCTTAGCAATACACACCCGAGCAACTTACCCGTTTTTCATTCCTCTTTGCACCACAAATTATACTCTAGTAATAAACCGATGTTCAGAATGATGCTTATTGCTAATGAGAACCCTTCGTTTTATTTTCCATAATCGTAACAATGTCCTTATGTTAATGTAATTTATATGTATTTTCCTGTTATTATTATTATATACTTATTTTTTTGTACTTTGGGCCACTGTCCGTTTTGTATAAATAAAAATAAAATAAACATAATATACTATATCAGTGAGTTTGCAAGTTCTGTAAAAATGTATTAGTAGAAGTTTTCATTTCTGTTTACCAAAACAGTAATTCTTTTCTTTTGTTATTATATTATACTTATTCCTATGCATATTTCAAACACTATAAATTAAAGACTGTTTAAGTGTTAAATGCACTATTTTTGAATTACAATATATTATATAGGGATAAAAACAGTTTATATTTTTCGTAGTATCACACTCGTCAACTATAATAATATGATAATAATATGCACTTGTAAATATCACCCCCGATACGGTGTATAATAGTGATATCGTACACGAATATTAGAAAATATATTATGATATCGTTAAGCGTGCGTACTACGCGAATAATCAATAAACGAGATTATGTACCTGCTGCATCGTAATTCGTATTATGTCTACTGTCTATTATTATTATATTACGGTCTAGCCGCAATCGCGTACGCGTTTCACACGTCATACGTATAATATGTTACTTATCATTGTATTTACAGCAGGACTACGTCGTCGCGGTTACGATGATGATAATGATGATGATGATTTTGACGATGATAATAATAATAATATAACAATAATAATAAAAATAACACGAGATTATAATGTAATTACACTACGACGACCGAAGAAAAATCGATTACCAGTAAAACACCGCAACCAGACCGCATTGTCAGGGTCGAGCAGGGGCGGAACACAAGCCAAGAATAAACCACTGTGGTCGGTCTCCATTTCGAACGGGCTCGTCGGAAAAAAAAACAATAATATACACAATAATATACGTTATAATGACAAATAACGCTGTGCACACACGCGAGCGGAAAGCACTGAAGAGTGCAGCGGTGTGGTCGCTCCGAACGACTACGTCACGTCTGTGAATGGAAACGTGCCGTTCATTGATCATCATTCACACCACATCGATACTATATCGCTCGTATTATTTGATCACAGGGCGATTCACCAAACAAGCTCAGCCTTCTCTCACTTCGACCTGTTTAATAATATACCAAGTACAATAGTCAATAATATTATCATGTAGTGGTATGTATGTACATACTGAGCCTATGATGTCATGTACACTGTACAGTATAATATACTACAACAACACTGTATATACCTACTTGCGAGGAGTATTCGAGTCCAACGACGTCGGCTGCACGATATTATACCTATGTACAGGTATACCTATATAACATATAATTTAATATTATTATATTATAGTTGACCCGCGTATACGGAAAATCGACGTGCAGCGGTTGCGACCACGGGAAAAAAATCTATGAACAAAACCGAATAATTCGATACGAGACCGCAGTTTACAAACCACGATTTATTGAATCCACTCACAAGGAATCAACAAGTAATGTCCAATATTGAATTATAGAGCACTGCACACGACGGACGCGCGAGCGGGCACGTTCTCGAGTAAACCGCTATCGCGGCCAACAGGTGTCCAACGACGACGTTGTTATCGCCAGTAACCCGGTAACCGGTAACATATTATTATATTGATCAGCTAAATATATCGCCGTTAACTTTCTTCTCCAGAACAACTAAACGTCCTGATATTATTAACGCACCATGTACCTACACTCAAAATATATCTACATAATAATAAACTGCATATTATTGTAAGATATTATTTTGCTCGATTTCTACAATTTTCACACAGTAGGAGTGACGGGTCTTAATGCGTATTTTTTTTAGTAAACGTTAATTTAAATTATTTTTAGATTGTTGTTTTTCATACTTAGCGCTAATCTTTGGTAAAAAAAAATTAAGTTTATATATATCCGTAACTATAGTTACAGACAAGCAATACAGATAATACAAATAATATAGATAATTAATAATTATGTGATCAGTAGCACGCATAATAACATCTGTATAGTGTTGTTTGCGTCCATAAGGTTATTAGAATGCAGCCTAACCGTTATCTATATCGATTACGTCTCGTCCATCTAGGAAATTCAAAATTAAGGCGGATTTCCACTATACTCGTACGCGTGTACGTGCATACAAATCCTTTGCTGTGATTGATTGGTTAGGTTCAGTTACCATACGATTAACCACGATACCGTGTTGTCAGACATAGCTGAACATTTTTCGTATACACGGTAAACGTATGTATAATAGTGGAAATCCGCCTTTAATGTACTAAATGTAACGACCAACAACTGCGGTAGCACCTCCTCAGTCCTTCGTGTCATGTTTTTAACACTTTCAAGTTTCAATACTAATCGGACATTTAATTCCCATGCTACCAAACGACGAAAATGTCGAGATATTTTACTTCATGGTTATACCTACGCCTGCAGGTTAGGTAAGAATCGTGCAATGCTCAAAAGTATGGTTCGAAGAATATAACTGCTGAATGAAAACATGGCAAGAAACACCAGAAGGTGCTGTGGCCATTTTTATCAAAATAATAATAAATTGTATGTTACCCTAAGATTTCGAAGGATAAGTGTATAATAAACCAACGAATTATTGTTAAATTGGAATACGGCGATAGATTTTTACATATAATTATATAAACTATATCAAAACTTTGGTTTTTTTATATGACTATAAAAATCACAAACATTGTACAAGAGATGAATACATTTATGACAACACTGGTCTCATTAAAAAACGAATTCCTTTTTTTAGTCGACCTATAACCGTCTAAACATATTATAGTAAACTAAGTATACATACATTTGATTTTCAACAGCAAATAACTACCACAAAATATGGCGTCGAGTAATTTGTGTTGCGTGTAGATGATATATTATTTTCGCTAGCAGTTCTGTTTTTATAATATTATTTTCGAATGTGGCTTGTCTACCGTCGTGTGTTCGTGTGTGATACAATGGAAAACCATATAATATGTGTTATATACCTACCTAGGTAATAAATATCCTTTTCTATATAGCCGATTTCATAATTATTTTTTATTATGTACTTATATTATAATATGTAATAAGTATTAATATTTCAAGTATAGATAAAAAAATAAAATACAATATGTTGTTTTAATGACAATAACAAATATTATAATGCATATATTTATATATTATATCACCTATAATGTGTATTATTTTTTGAGTTATAATCATGAATTTTTCCCATAAAAATGCAGATTTAATGAAAAAATAAAAATTATGATAGGTACCTTGCTATACCTACCTATTACAAATTGCACATTCTAAACTGCATATTATTTAAATTTTTTAGAATATCTACGATCTACATAACGTATGGACATACACTTATAGCTCTTTGTTTTTTTAGCGTACCTATATGTACTAGTTCCGAACCCTGGTTATACCACTTGAGGTGCACTGCAGACCATATAGTAACAATACATAATATCATAGGTACAACGCATAACAATTCACGTCCAAGTACCTACGTAATATTGTACCTATATATTATAGTATTATTATTATTATTACTATATAATCTCGGGTCTACCACTTGACCGCGACCAGATCATAAGTATACGATATAATAATATATAAATAATATATCATAACAACCGCCGTGGAACGTGACCGAAACTGCGTTCAAGTATATTATAATATTATCCGAGACACCAGATGTGTGCAGTGTTAAAATAATAATAATATAATATCGTAGACGCATATCACACCTTTTGGTAGGAAAAAAATGATGACGACGACGGTAATAATAATAATAAATAAATAAAGAGAACACTCGTAACGATATTATCGGTGGTCAGTGCGGTTTACCGCACCGCTCCGTACACACATACGTATTATTATTATAAAAATATTATGAATGGGGCTGGGGACTTAAAAATCTCAATCTGTATGAACTTCTGCACACTAAAAAACAAGAAAATGTGTATTTTTAAATATATGCTCTAAAAAAAAAGTATTCGAAGTTTGTTATTTTAAAAGAAAATATTTTTTGCAAAATATGATAAAAGATGTACCTACAATTATATTAGGTAGTATGAAATAAATATTTTTCAAAAAAGATTATAAAAAGTTACAAATTATAAAAGTTATCTAAAAATACTACATAACATAATATTATATTATAATAATATCATATATAAAAATAACAAATCTTGTATAATAAATTGTTTTAATTCATTACTTCATTCATTAGGTATTTATATTTGGAAAAATATTTATAGCATTTTATAACAATAGTGTTTTTAGAATGTTTGACAAATTGTATACATTAAAATAAAATTTAAATTCAACTTCTTAGATTATTAAAAATATCCAGATCAATAATTACGAGAAATATACAACTAATTGAGTTACATTGGTTACAGAGAAAAGTAATTTCTAACTTAACTTCTAACTTTCTAACCACGTCCTAGCCGTATATATATGTATGCATACAGATCACTAGCGCATTGTTCTATACAAGGACCGTCTTTACGTGGACAAATATATGAAAAAAAAAACAAAACTAAAAGTCCTCAGCCTATAATAGTATCACTTCATGTTTCAGTAATCTCTTCAATGTACCTACCGCTCTATATACGAGACGCGCGCGTATAAACGGGTTTATAATCATATAAAATAATATATACGTTGGCGAGTAAACGAGGCGATACGATTTATGTGACTCGTAGGCAGGTATATACCATAATATATAATAATAATAATAATAATATTAATAATATGATATATTATCATTATCGTGGTTATTGTTGTGTAATATAATAAGATCGGCCGTGTAATTCGACGTGTTTGTCCACCGCGGTACGTGGCTCAGGCGGACCGTAGCCGGACGTGCGTCTGATTTTCGGACCGCAACGATGACGTGCGACGCACTGCCCCTATCGCTCGGTAATCCGTCCCCTCGATCTCTGTTTTATTACACTATTGATATTATAATAATACGCCGTGAGACCATCATCACCGCCACCACAGAGTTGGATACAGAATATGGTTTTTTGAAGACCAACGGTCAATGTTGACGGACCCCAGAGAAAAAAGTCGACGTCTCTAAACTACAGACGTAGAGTTCCCTTCCTCTTAAACATTATACTTTATACTTTATAGCAGAAGCTTTATTAAAAAGGATTATTAAATAATAATTGAGATAAACGACCAAATGTTTTTTATTTTTAAATACGAAATGCTGAAAAAAATTTCCAATATTTTCCGATCAAGTAAAATTCTTACCCATGGGCTATGATAAAAGAAAGTAGTTTTTATCGATTACATTTTTACCAAAATATATTACTATCTATGTATATAGAGGTACAATAACATTATGTTTCTAAGTTTGAAAAGTCGTAATTTTAAACCTACTCAGTAATATTATGTAAATAAGGAAATAAATATTTTTGGCGAGCTAAATCGTCGCCTCAGAATGAAAAGGTTCTAAATCAATTTTTTTTAAAAATGGTTTTTTTGCATATAATCATTTATAATTTTTTGTTGTATAATTCAATCTTGAAATCGGATCGATCCGTTGGTTATTCAATGAGATACAGAGAATGAAAAGGTTCTAACTCATAAAAACGTGAATGATAAGCGCGAAACCGAGAAATATCAGTTACAACCTTTTCATTCTAAACAATAATTAAGAATGAAATAGTTCTAAACGGTCTTAAATGTAATATCTCAGAATGAAAAGGTACCGTTATAATAAGGTTATACCACTGGTACAATATAAATTATTATTGTGCCATAATAAAATATTATTCCAGCATTCCAGCATAAATTTACCGTCTATTTTTGTTTTGTGGAGGTGATAAGGTAGGTAATACCTACATGCCACATGTATATAGTACCTACTTTAGTATTATAAGAAATGGTACATTTAAATTTGAATTACGTTTTTGACATTTTTCATTATTGTGAATTATGATTTATGCAGTTTAATTTATATTGTTGCGTTTTCAATATACCCCCCTTCCCTACACTAATTGCGCCAATGGACCATACAATTGTAACTTATTACTTATAGTAGGTATGTCCAGGCACATACACAACAACAAAAATTCCGGGGGTGGGGGGACCCCCCCCCCTACATATACGGGTATGTTATAATATAATAATACTTAACTTAAAAACTAAAAATATTGCATAATAAAAAAATGTATAATTTATAACATAGTTTACACTAGAAGTTGGTATCACTGCATAGAAAAAATGATTCAAATTAGAATGAAAAAGTTCTAACTAAATAAATAATTTTTATTTTCAGAATGAAAAAGTTCTACACATAAAACCTTTTAATTCTAAAACTAATATTTTGGTTTTTTATGATTAACTCAGTCAATAATTGAGGAAAGACAAATTGCAGATAAAGTTGTGTTCTTTGGAACTTTCTTGATATTGCATACAATTTTCACGATTTAGTAATTATGGTGAAAAAAGTTATTCAATGTCCTACTTAAAAACGTTCCCCTGAACAATTACATAAATTGCGTTAGAACCTTTTCATTCTGAGACGACGAAATACCATTTTATTCCTCCGTTGGCGTTATGAACTTTTCTGGGAAGACTTTCCGACTTATATCTTCCGAGCCGTTGAGTCCTTATCATGGCGCAGGACTGCTGCACGTGAAATTCCGCAAAGGCGGGCAAGTTTTAATGAAAGCAATTGTATTTATTGAGTATGCCACACACCCCGCTATTTAAGGGGTTTCATATAGGCAATTGTAGTGCCTGAAGATTAAAATCCTTTACAATATAATATAGGTACATACGTTTTAATAATACTTAAACTCAAAGGATAGTAAACGAGATGGTCAGCTCGTTCGAGATTTGATTTGGGTACATCAAAATTTTCAAAAAAATTATCTACCTACCTACTGAATTCAAACTGCTGCAGAATATCATGAGGAATCATAGATATTATGTTTTTGGGTATAGTACAATAATATTATCTATTAGTAGGTATGCTAAAATTTGTTAGAAATTTAATTTTCTTAAATAATTATCTTTATGGACTGGATACAAGATTTTTTTTGACCGATTTTTCGTAAGGTTTTTTCGTGTCATGGTTACTTATTAATTATTATTAATATAAGTTGTCAACAAAAATATATTTATGATTCATAGATTTTTCTTGTAGAGGTACAATATCGACTAGTGTCATGTTTTTATTTAATTTTATTGTTGATTTGCTTTTCTATGACAATAAACAAAGCGTTGCGAAAATGGGTAGGAAAAAAATAATGTTGTACCCAGTCCAAAAACGTATTAAAGTTAAAGAGGGGTAGGCACTAGGCATGCTCAGTGAATCACTCTGTATATTATATCGGTGAACCTTAATATTATTATTAACATTGTCTATTAATAGTGTCCGATTTCTGTGTATAGAAATATAATATTGTATAATACTCGTATACCATAAATGACAGCTATCTAGGTGCTCACAAACGAATGTGTTTTTACAAAGGACTATTAAACTATAAGGACTAAGAATGGCACAGTAGAAATATAATATGATATTATTATTATATGTTATTTTACACATAATATAATATCATATGTGCACCATACTACCATACGTCATATATAAAACGACCATAAAATACAAAATGCCAAAGAATATAGTATTAGGTATTATATATTATATTGTTATAATATTTACAGTCGAAATTCGTTACCTCGGCATTTCCGCCGCGGCTAAGAAAATAAAAATAAGTAAAGAACATACTTATTCGTATTAAATCAATGCACGAGCGATGGGTTTTCCATTTAAAATAACATAATTACGATTTCAATAATTATATTTTACGTACACACCGATCGAGTAACGTCGTTGATGAGATCATCATTAAAGCACATTATATAGTACTATCGAGTATAGACTATTGATATATTATATACACAACTCGATCGAAACTAACACACACAAACTCACGAACTTAATACAATAAACATATTAATAACATAAAATAAAATCAAGCATAAAATATAATATACGTTTCTACAACGTATATTGGTACTCATATATAATAATAATAATAATAATAATGATAATAATAGTAATAATAGTAGTGATAATACAAATAATAATAATATAAATAATGAATAATATATTTACAAAAACTGAAAACATAATAAATTACCGTACAATATCGCACCAAATCAAATGACAGCAGATATTTCGTACTTTTAACAAATGCCCCCTTGGCCCCCTCCCCAATAAATTGTATTCCCTTAAAAATCAAAATAAAGTTAGTAAAATGTCATTCGAAAAGACACGAAAACAGTTGCTGCGTCAAACATTTTATACATGATAATCATTAATTATATTATAATAATAAAATTGTGAACGTTTGTGATAGTTGATCCAAAAAATAAATACAAAAAAAACAAAATATATAAAATAAACGAAAAACCACGAAATTCGCATTACACATAACAGTCTAACACATAGGCGGATATCGGGGGAGGGGAGACTTTTGAGATCCTAACTCACCCCCTCACCGCCCAAATTAAGAAAAGATTTACGACTACCCACATGGTCAATTTTTTCGGCCTTATATGTATAAAATATTAAAATTTAAAATAATTATAGGTACATGGCTGACGATTTTGGTGCGCTTCTGCACGAGTCGTCCGCCGCACTGGATCGTGATAAGCATGCAGCAGGTGGCATTAAGTACGCGGTGGGGCTGCGGCCGCAAAAAGTTTACGGCTACGATGCATCGATCACCACGGCCGCCACATGGGATCGCGAAGGGCGGCAGCGGCGGCTGCGGCTGCGGCGTCTTGCTGCAGAGTCGGCGGGGACCGGCCGAACGCAGGCCTGGTGGGTTTGGGCCTGACGACCGTGTGCGGTGGGCCACGATTGGACGAGCTTAGGGCGACTGGTTTAAGCGTCGGCGAGGCGGCGGCGATGGCCGCAAAGTGGACGGTGGTTGCGGTGTCGCAAGCGGCGGTGCCGCCGGCTGGGCATGGATTCGCGAGGACCGTCGCGGCCGCGGCTGACGGCGGCGGTGTTAGCGGCGTGTGGTCGGGTGGCTGCGGAGGCGTCCGGTCTTCACTGGCAGCGGCGGCAGCCCGCTTATCAGTAGCGGCCATCGCTGCGGCTGCGGCTGCGGTGGCTGCGGCGGCGGCGGCGGCTGGCAGTTGAGATTCGAGCGCGCGAGACACCGACTTGGCCAGGTACTCGACCAGCCGGCGGCCGACCACAGAGTCCAAGCCCGGCAGTGACAATAGGAAACTGCACGCTTCGCTGGCACAGTGGCTAAATCCTTCCTGCGGACAGACAAAAATAATAATTAACGCACACTCGACTAATATTTTGGCCTATTTTTGTGTGTGATAAAAAATTCGTTATGTGTGACGTATATTATGAAATTATAAAGTTTGTTACGACCAACATTTGTGAAGTATAACTGGTTATTTCATTATTTGCATTGATTTAATTAAGGCGCTTTGATGCCCTGTGCCAATGTAATTTTGTACACAAAAATACTCTCTACAGGAATAATGTTACTGTTCAGTAGAATAATAGATATATTTTTTTTTTAACTTATAATATAAAACTCCGTTTTTCAATATTTTAATCTCAAACTTTATAATATGTCTTCAAAAATAATACAATTTTAACCTTTTTTTTTATAAATTACCTATATTAAGTATACCGTTTTTCTAAAATTAAATTAAAAATCGGAGTTCGATGAGGCCAGTAGGAAATTTTCTTATTTTTTATAATAAAAATAGTTATCAAAATCTGATAATTCTATAAGGCCTGAGAATTATTCACGTAAATTAATTTTATTCGATTTAATACACCTTATCTACCACCCCTAAATAGGTATTAAGTAGTAAATTAATGGAAAAATATGATAACTAAAATATAAAATTTAATTTTCAAATTTTATAGAATTTATTGCAGAAAATTTGAAAAACTGGCACCTGGTCCCTTAATGACAAATTACGATTTGTAAATTCTTTTTCGTGGTAACAAAAATAATAATTATTAAGCTCTGTTATTGTGGCTATGACTACAATTTTATTAGTTATATACAGACTTATAGATATAAAGTAAACAGTGACCGATAATTTTTTACTACCGCATATATTATATAAGTAGTATCTATATCAGTGGCGTATGTAGGGGGAGGCCCCCTAGGCCAGAGCCCATGGTGAAAATGCAGGTTAAATTAAAGCATTGCATGTATATTTACACTGTTTACAGTTTTCACCATGATTAATTTAGCTAGTTGATTAAAATCGTTTTTGAGGAATCAACAAGAAAATGTTAGATTGTCCGGACTTGCTTTGATGACTTTGATGTTAAATTCATAGTAAGATATAACATTAAAATATAATATAAATGAAACTGTCAATATTTTTTAAAAAAGAATCGAAAAATTAATTTGTCATAATAATTAAAAAACTAAATCGCGCAATTTTTATTTTTATTGTTTATGTCATAATTATTAGTCCCAGCTCCCTAAAAAATGGCTATGTTAGTCGTGCTATGCTCGACTAGTGATAAATTGGACCATAGTGAAAATAATTCGTATATACGCCACTGATCTATATGCTATTTACATAGTACATTTAAATTTTTTAAAAATGTGAACTGTGATGTCAAACACGTAAAATTTCAGAAATATTTTTTACACCCTGCCTGAGTATAATGCGGAACAATGAACTAGTGGTGATTACTCCCACTCTCGCATAATAGTGGTACCTATTATGAGTGTACCGTGTTTATAATATAAACATAATTTCGTTATAAATGTGTAAACCTTGTTTAAACTGTTCTCACGCGAAGTCCCGACGATTATCACCCTATTTGTGTCTCCACTCCTCTCACCACCCACACAAATCATTCAGCAGAGAAGATCGTAAATAATGGCCAAAGTATTTCTGAACTATATTAGAAGGGGAAAAAATAATTTTTTATTGGTTTGTTATTATTAGTAATTGATTATAATCTATACATAATATAATCATGATGTTCATATTATATAGCTTACTTCAATACATTTTCATACAATAGATACATACATCAAAGTGACTGCAATTCCCTCGTAATACAGATGTGCCCTTGACCTAATAAAATACCACGCTCATTAAACTCTATATTATGCGGATGTATAAAGATGCGCTCCGGAAACTTGGAAATGTTAGAAGTGGGTACCTACTTGATTCACACGTGTTTTATTCTTAAAAATATCCGTTATGCCGTGTGGGATTATGCAGTGAATACCTATAATTTATCGCGATAAGTCTCATTATAATATCTATATAATATAACGAAACAATACTTTTTTGTGTTTTAAATACATTTTAACCATGAAACCAAATTAAATTATGGTAACTATATTTTTTAGTTTTTAATGTTAACAATAAGTATCTATATTATGTATCTATTTTTATATTGAGTGAAAGTGTATGAGATATAATATGCTGAAAGAATATTATTACATTTACACTCTAAAGATTTTATATTTCATCACGTTAGATGTTGCTAATTTGAATTAGGTACACATGAAAATTAAATTAGTACATTTTAAATTTCACTTAAACTATCCTACATTAACCTAGCACACAAAAAATTGTATAATACTGAGATTTACAATTGAAAAATTAAAATTAAAAAGCATTAGGTATGACAAACGAAAGTGACTTTTAAATTTATACCTATGTAATTTGTACGATACTTAATGTCATTATACAATAATGAACCATAATAATAGACTTGGAACATAAAAATACATAATTATTTTAAACTTACTTGAAATTTATAAGCTTCTTCTACGGGATCTCTTCTAGTAATCTTTTGAAGATGTTTAACGGTAAATTCCAAAATGTCTGCCTTTTCGAGTTTATCGACATTTTCACCTTCAGCCTATATAAATAAAATTAAAATGTCATTAATTCGTTTTTTTTTTTTTAAATAAAGAAATTATTATTACATAGGATTATATAGTGTTATAATATTATTATGTCCTCTCACCTCTAAGGCAGAAAACATTAGATCCTTTAACTCATCCAAACACCGATTGATGCGAGCACGGCGCTTTCGTTCCAATAACGGTTTTGTTATCTGTTAAATACAATAATTTATAATTAATATTGTGATGTAAACTTGAAAACAAAAATGCATTACTAAAATAAAATATAAATATATGTTTGAAAAAAGTTTCAAAATAATAAAATACATAATATTTCCTCGAGCATTTTAGTCGATTAGGTAAGTCGTTTAGTCGACATAATTATATACCTGCTATCTGCAGCTACAAAATACTCTATGAAACACGTGACTGTTCGTCATTTATTATTATCAAACTACAAACTACAGAGTGCACACTATACACACAACAGCACCATTCACAATTTTAAAATCCACACAAATCGGATTGTAAATGCTCAATATGACCATATCACAAAATGTATTATAATCTAAATTGCAACCAAACATTTACTCCAATATTATTATAAATATTATGTATTTATATACAAAACCTTTTATTTTCACTTTTCTCCCGGTCAGCACACCAGACCACAAATACGTAAAAGCTAAAAAACAATTTAAGTTTGTTGTTTTTACTAGCATTGCCTTTGTTAAAATAATACATTAGATCAACGGACTGTTAAATTAATTTTTATTAGTACGTTACGTCTACAGTTATCGTCGAGTTGATTGATAGTGTTAAATTTTCGATCTAACGGAAAACGTACGGTGGATTTTATAGAAAATTGTATATATACGGTATGCGAATTTACTAAGTCCTCAAATTACATGCAAACATTATTCGATCAATAGTCTTATAATTTATCAGTGTGCAGTAAAGTATATATTTTAATTTTACTATTTACCGATGTATGGTTGTATATTGTGCGTGGACGGCATATATATTTCGTATAATATTCTTATAACACTAAACGACGACCGTCGAGTACATATAGCCTTAAATAAGGAGGAAACATGATGATGGTCGTAAGGGAGCCTGGGGGGTTGGTGGTGAAGAAATTGATCAAAAAAAAGTCATATTATACGATAAAATTTATAGTATACAATCGACATCATCGCGGAATTGTATCGTAATAATTTATATATGATACGCAGTTCTAAAACTGTTGTAACCACGTGGCGGTGACGAAGAAAAAAAAGATCACTTACCTTTCTGTACGTTACGGTCCGAGAAATCGGCGACGGAGTAGGCGAAAACATGACGTGGTCCAGTTGGTTGAGAAATAAACAAATCCGATGGACGAATAAAACAACAACAATATTATGAGTATACACCGTCGAGAGCGAGAACACAAAAATAATAAACTACAATAATATTCTAATCGATGATTATAATAATAACATCGACAAACGACAATCGACGAACACGCGAGTGCGAAATGCTCGCCGGATGACGGTGGGTAACGGACTGAACCGGAGGCGGCGGCAGTGCCTGTTGCCCGTCTCATTCCGTTGCCACCGCCGCCGCCGCCGCCGACGCGCTTCTTCCTCTTCCGCCGTCGCCGTTAGACCCCTTCTAAAAATACACTCACCCCTCCGCCACCTCCGGGGGATGTTCGGCGCGCGCGCCCCCGACACACGATCTCAGGTCGCGCGTACCCCTCGCGTGCGAAACCCCCTCGGGAGAGCAATCGTTCGGTTCCCACGGATGCCGATCGCCCTCCTTCCAGCCCCCCCACCATGAGCGCGCGCCCGTAATTATATTATTCCTTTCGTCCGCACATATCACGTAGGTAGATAGGTCGTTATAGGTCTAGCTGTATAATTTATAGGTGGCGCGCGTCCCCCTACAGCTTCCTACTCCCCGCGACGTCACGTCTCGATATACTGCAGGAGACACGGCAGCTCGGGCCACGCGCTTACAGTACCCCGGAAATTCGGAGACTTCGTCAAACGGCGACCGTGCATTAATATAATATTATGTAACGCGGACGACGTATTGTTATTGTTGTTGTCTATATTATAATATATTATATTATTATACTGGACGGAAATGACTTTTTGTGTTGTATGTATTAGGTATATACTGAATTACACCCATATAATATTAAAATATATAAGTACAATATTATATTATACTATAATAGTATGTCCACAAAGTGTGTCGGAGGTGGGAGGAGCGTCAAATTCGCCGAATCTTATACTTAAATATTTAATATACAGCGTCATTAGAATGTTACGAAATCTGTTTTTACTTTTTTGGTTCTTTGTGCTCACAATTCTCTAGAATATTGAAATAATTTATTACATAATTATATAATACTATATAATATGACTAAATTATATAAGTAAAATATTTTTAAAAACTAATAATGATGAAAAGTCTGCAAAAATGCACGCCTCATAATTTTTTTAACTTATTAAAAAAGTATTTTTAGAAAAGGTTATAATCTGTCCGTAATGGTATCCAAGTATGAAAGATCCATAAATGTAGCTTATCACCTGTTGCTGTTGATACGTTCTTCATTTAATTCGCCGCTTTGTGAATTTTGCAAAATTTTCGAGAACAAAATAAACTTATCGAGAATATAACTATGTCATCCCTGAAACATACAATAATATAATAATATAGTGAAAAATATTTCGTAATATAAGTCATTTTTTAAAACGAGAAATTGTTCTCTAGGCTTGAATATTATCTAATCCATTAATTATTATGGCATCATAATATTATGTTCACTTCTTCCCTAGTATATAATAGGTACCTATGGACAAATTTAAATCAGATCTCTCAACATTTTTTTTTTTACATTAGACTGTGGCCCATGAAAATTATACTTTTAGATTTTCTAAAAATACGTGTACCGTATACGATGTACATAATATTAAATTATATTCAACAGTTAATCGCTTTATTATACGTAATTATTATACTACACTTATACGCGCTATGGGAATCGCCAATAAAATTTAATTCAAGTGCAATAAACTAATTAACATGTAAAATGTAAAACGTATTCAAATCAACTTCGCCGTGTTATTATTTTACTCGACCACGACGATGTTCTATCTCGTCATTCCATATATTATGATTGAATAAACGCATAAAAGTGTATAGTCCTTACAAGAAACAGATTTGGAAAATATTTTTAAAATAAAAATGTACTTTTATTATATTATTAGGTATAATAGTATTATAGGTAAACGCTACACTACGAAATATAAAATCGCACAAATGTGTTTTGATATGAAATATTATTGTCTTGGTGTTTTGTTCACGACCAAACAGTTTTGCATAGTATGACACATGACGCGTTGTATCCACCTTAACATACCTATATCAAATCTACATTCATCATGCTGCATGAGCATTTTTATATTCCAAAATTTTACATAACCATAGTAATTTGCTCAAAAAATTTAAATACCGTAAAAATTCGAGGTACTCACACTGCAATCACATAGATAATGTTGTTCAGATAACGTTTGACAATATTGGTAAATTTCCTGCTAACCGTACAAAGTTAGAGCTATGATGAACACAAATATTTTGTTACGTTATACGTTTGTGTTCTGTTATCTTATAATTATGACAACGATAATACACATTATAATAGTAAGATGATAATTTTATATATTATTAAGATGCATATTATATGCTTACATAATATACCATAAAAATCGATGATTTTTTCCACATTATTATATCAATTATTACTGAGATTGAGAGTTTTTACGGAATAAATCGTCGGGATTAGTTACCCCTTTAAATACATGACAACCCTTATAATAGATTTAGGGTAAAATATTATACAGCACAGGCAGCGCAGGTGTAAAAAAAAAGGGAATCGCATAATATAATATGATATGTTTCTCGTCGTCTTTCAATGCGATTCATATAAAATCGTTTTTTTTCGTTTGACCCATAAGTCTAATGTTTCGACGAACTCGTCGTCGTCGGTGTTGTTTTATACAGTAACCAGCTGCAGAAGTATACTATATACCTAGGTAAAGACGTTATTATTTATAAACATCATTTAACGTTTTAAACTTTTGAAACATATTATATTAGGGCACATATATTATTGTAATAATAATAAATTATGCAGCCGTTATTATATTTATTTTATGTTATTATATGGTATCGAAAATAAGTCTCGTCCGGCGGAAGCGGTCTGCTGCGGGACAAATCGGATGAGAAAAAATAAATCGGAACACGTTTTACGGACGTTTATACAATATAATATAATATAATATATAAGAAACGGCCGCTGCACCACTAATATAATATCATAAGGCGAAGCGACATAATATTATACTTACGGCGACAATGATATTATACGATAAAATATATATTGTTGTGTACGTCGGTGGGCGGGGAGTCGAGGTGAAATAATATAATTTAATAAGCCTATATATATGTATACGTAAAGAAACGAATTTACCAAGTGTACAATATGAAAACACGCTACGATGAGTGGGAAAACGAGAAAAAACACGTGCATTTTTTTTTTATATTTAAGTCCTATCCCCCATAGCAGTGCTTCGCTCTCTGCCCATAGGTATTATGTGTTTTCGTATGATATAGGTATATAATATTATATTGTTAAAAAAACGGCAGGCGGCGAGGAGGAGACGCTCGCGCGAAGGACACGGTCAAATGGAGTATGGACGCGCTGAGCAGAATTATCGCGGACATAATCCGGTAATGTACCTACGGTGATATGGCAGGTATATATTATTATACCTATATGGCTATATTATTATTATTATTATTATTATTATGTACACGAAATAATAAAATGTAATATAATATAATACAATGTACCTACCTATAGTATATACCTACCTATATTATAATAATAGTCCGGGCCGTCACGAATCGCGTCCATTCATCCGTCAAAGTCGTTCGGTTGTAGGGGTGGTGGGGGGGGATATAAAAAATGGAAAATAAAAGAAAAACGACTTGGTCGTCGGCCGCGGCTCGCGTGCAAACGTGGTGGGAAATAATATAGGTACATAAAGATATTGTTGATGAGACGTATACCAATAATAGCGTATAGAACGATTTTTTTTCTCCCTAATCTGTATTATAATATCATGATGCATTAATTGACCTCCATCGGGTTATTTCGTTCGACATTCTTAACCGCAATTTTTTTTCGTATATAATACTCACCTATTGTATATTGTATATAGCTATTGTATATTGTACCTACTTAATTTTTCAAAATGTTTAGTAATATTATATTACATTGCATAATCGTCACTCCCCTCGTAGGTACACACAATATTTCAAACGTTTATCGGGATTCGAGACGGCTATAGCTGAGGAATATCGGTATACAATATTATATGATATCATAAAATGATTTAATTAGAGTTTAAATATATTGGAGCTTTAATATGTAGTGAAAGTCTTAGAAGGGATATATTTTATTAAAGTATATTATTATATATGAAGCGAAAAACGTTTATCATCTCTCCAAAAACCGTTACGTATACGCCCCCAATAAACCATAATACTATAATAATATAAAATAAAATTGTTTATGCGCGATATTTTGTCAGCCGTCTGATTTATGCGCATGGACACGAATTATAAAATATAGAGACAGGGCGCTGCGATGTCTAGAGTTTAACATCGAAATCGAACATAATAAATATGTAATCGAAGCAAAGTATACGCCTATATAAACTCGTTTGTGTCGTGAATAAATTCAAAATCGAACCGCGGGCGCCAACATAAGTTTGTCCGGCGTATACGCGGTTTTTGTGAACTCTATATATAAATAGTGCAGGTGTCATTTAAGTTTTTGACAACCAAATTAAGTCAATCTTATGGCCAAAATTTAAGCAACCCATTTTTATTCATCATTGTAAATAAATGCATGTATTTTATGCACTTATGGGGTTGAAGGGTTGCATATTATTTACCTACTGTCTTGATGAACTACTCGAATTGAAAAAATTGGAAATTTGGATGTTGGAAATTGCTTTTGTCGAACATGCTAATTAAGTACGTATATAAATAATAAATATTACCTACATACATATATTCTATTATATAAGTGTATTTATATAGTCTATAGACACCTATAGTATAATTAATATCATGCGCATTAAATAATATATGTTTTATAGATTAACTTTTATGCAACGACCGTTGGCGAAAATGTTATGGCCAAAAAGACGCATAGGTGCACCGAATTACGCATTTACGCCTATAATTGCCACACACGGGGGCAAAAATGGCGCCT